GAATCCGTGACTTCTTCAATAGAAATCACAGATATTTCCATATAGCACGACAATTGTTATAAATACCTCAGATTATCTTTTATGCTTTTATCATTATGTCAAACTGATGGCAGTTATTAGATCTTGTATTTACTGCACCAATGAAGAAGCACATACATTACATATTGCAAATTTGGTTTGAAAATATTGATAGCCGCATTTCTTTATATTTCCTTTCCTTTATAGTCATATGTGTTTTATTTTATGCATTTAAAATATTATTCTGAGAAGAGGTTTATGGCACTCAAAAAAGTCTAGACAATTACATTTGCCCCTATAGCTTAAATGACCATTTCTCACCAATGGCTCTCCCAATTTTCTTTTCTCCAATCCAGGTCTCACCTGAATTCCAGACTCACATATATGTCCCTTATTTGAGAATACCAAGCAATGCCTTAAAGGCACCTCTAAAGGAGCTCTGGTAGCCTAGTGGTTACGAATTGGGCTGTGAACCTTAAGGTCAGTGGTTTGAAACTACCAGTTGCTGCATGGGAGAAAGATGAGGCTTTCTACTCCTGCAAAGATTTACACCCTTGGAAACCCGTACAGGGTCGCTATGGGTCGGAACCAACTCGTCGGCATTTAACAACAACAACAACAATTCACCACACCCAAAGCCAAACTCATATCTTTCCTTGATAAGTCTGGTCCTTTTCCAGTGAAAATTTCTCAGAAAATGACACTAAAATAGCAAGGAGTCATACTTGAGTCTTGCATCTTCCTCATTCCTATTCCCAGTGTTCACCAAGACTTGTTGATTTCAGCTCCTAAGCTGTGCTAGTATCAATCCACTTCCATACCATCTTAGCTCTTTTATTGGATCATCAGATTGGTGGTGGTGGTAGTGGTGTGCTGTGGAGTTGGTTCTGACTCACAGCCATCATGGTTTTGAAGGCTATAAATCTTTACAGGAGCAGAAAGCCTCATCTTTCTCCTGAGGAACCACTGGTAGTTTCAAACTGCTGACCATGAGATTAGCAGCCTGACTAGTAACCACTATGCTACCAGAGCTCCTTTGAATAGATGGGAGGTACATAAAAAGATATGATAAATATAAAACTAACCACTTTGAAAAGTTTATTCAAAGAATCTGGGAATATTTGGAAGATAGTATCCTTCTTACCTTTCATTCCCAATCTACCTCCAACCCAGTCAAGCTCCTGGATCAGGCATCTGATGATACCAATAAGTAGGCAAGCTCTCAGACCTGCTGCTAGGCTTCCATAGGGTGAACTATGCTAGATACGAAAATGAAAGGAATTATATATGCTGGGAGGTGGGAGGGTCCTTGGAATATTGTAGTTGGAGTCCTTGTGTGGTGCTATAGGATAAGCACAGGATTGCAAAGTCAGTTTGAACCACAAGATCGGCAGTTCAAACTCACCAGTCACTCTTTAGAAACCCTATACTGGGTCACTATGAGGCATAACCAACTCTACAGTGCTAAACAACAACAATTACTACAAAGCATGCATCTGGACAAATGAACTCCATCCACCTCCACTCTCCCCCAACCTCTATACTGCAGCCAGGAATCTTTTCAAATATATATGTGATTCTATTAAACTCTTTAGTTCCCACCCTAACCCCTTAAGGGGCTTCCTACTGCTCTTAGGATAAAGGCAAATAATTTCACAGTGACTAATAGGACACTAAATGATGGGGCCCCTGCTTTCCTCACCAGACCCTCTCCACTCATGTTTTATACCCTAGTCACTTGGGACTTTTAATTTCTCAGATACACTATAGTTTCTTCTATCATTGCTTGGTTATGTGCTGTGGAGTTGGTTCCAACTCAGAGCGACCCTGAACAGGGTTTCCAAGGCTGTAAATCTTTACAGGGGCAAAAAGCTTCATCTTTCTCCCACGGAACAGCTGGTAGTTTCGAACTGCTGACCTTGTGGTTTGCAGCCCGATTCATAACCACTATGCTACCAGAGCTCCTTTCTTCTATCATAGGGCTCTGCATATACTGTGCCATCCCTTTGCTTAGTTGTTGTTAGGTGCTGCTGATTCAATTCCAACTCATAGTGGCCCTGTATAGAGTTTCCAAGAAATGACTAGTGGATTTGGACAGTGCTTATTCTACAGTGCCACACCTAGACTCCTTTTAACTCTTAGCTCAGATGTTACTTCTTCAGGGAAGCCTTTATTGTTCTCCAAGAAAGGTTAAGACCTATCCCACAACACCCTTGTCCTTTTCCTTCATGGGGGTGGTGGTGGTGTTATGCCGTGGAGTCAGTTCTAACACATAGTGACCCTGCATAGGGTTTCCAAGGCTGTAAATCTTTACAGGAGCAGAAAGTCTCATCTTTCTCTGGCAGAATGGATGGTAGTTTCAAACTGCTGATCTTGAGATTAGCAGCCTGACTTGTAACCACTACACTACCAAAGTTCCTTCTTTTCCCTTATTGTTGTTGTTAAGTGCCCTCCAGTTGGTTCTGACCCATAGCAACCCTGTACAGAATCTCTGAGGAGCAGTTGGTGAGCAATTCAAACACATCTTGCAGTCCAGCGCATTAACCCACAGCACCACAACCGGATTCTTCTTTTCCCTCATGGTATTTGTCAAAGTTTATAACTACATATTTGTTGTTATGATTATTTGATTAATGTCTGTATCCTCTAACAAACTGAAAGATCTAGAAGGAAAAGAACTGCTTCTTTTCACATCATAGTATACTCAACTGTGAGAGCAGGGTGCCTGGCACACAGAAAGTACTCAATAATGTATGTGTGCATGCAGGTGTGTTTGTATGAATGGTTACATGCCAGAAACTATAAAGCAAAACCAGAGGACAGACCTGAACTGTGGTGACCTCATAAGCTGACACCACACTGAGTGGCCCTGTCCGAGTCACATACCTGCTTCCCTCAAGGATCTCTCTGTGGTTTGCTCACTGTCAGCTGAAACCTCTAATAGGATATACCACCTGCTTGTTTGGTTTCTGAATCATCTGAATCCACCCGTATTCAGCAATGTTGACGATCAGCTTTCAGGACAGAGCAAACAACCTCAAAATAATTACCATTTATTCATTCTACTAATATTTATTGTGTGTCTACCCCTACTGTATTCCAGGCACTATGCTGGGGATGGGGAAACACAGATGAATGACACCTGGTTATTAGTCTTAAGGAATTTATGGTTTTGAAGCATAACCAGATATGTCAATAAATAAATTATAACTTCCTCTTTTAAAACACTAATATTGCAAGGCACGCTCAAGGTTTTAAAGGATCACACACTACAAAGTGACTATCAAAGCACTCAATAAAGCTATAGCTAGAAGAAGTGCTATTTTGAGTTGACTGCCCAAAGGATACACTTTGCAAACCCTATCTACGCTCTTAACTATGGACCAACCAGTTTAGAATATAAGACAGCAGTTTACCTGGACCACATTAGACAAGTTTCTCAAAAATTAACCATCAATTTTCTTTTTACATCCTTATGTCCTTGGCTTTAGATGGCAAATATTTATATGAATTTTACTTTTGCATTCTTCCTTCAAATCTTAGTTGATCTATGACATCATTTACTAAGCTCTAATAAGGTCATTAAGAAACTACCTTTAGAATTTAGTGCTACCAGAAACGAAAAAATTTATCATCTGACTCCTTTGATGAACTGATTCCTTTCAAATAACAAGATCTATTCCACATATATATTTTTTCCTTTTTGTCCTAGCAACCAGGAAGCTCAGAACTAAATTTCAAATTCAGTCGCAGTCATATTTGACCCTAGGATAGTTGTGATCTCCTTTTTCTCTGGCCCTAAAGTTCTAGTTCTAATTTTTGTGGCTATTGTAAACCTTATTCATATCCTTATGAAAATAAATGGAGTAAAATAAATATAACATTTTATGTGCTCAGTTGTTTCAGGATTATTTTCATTTGTCAACGGCACATAACAAATGCAAAATACATGAGCTGTATTTTAATATTTAAAGAATTTGGAGAAACTGGAAAGGACCTAGGGAAAGGCAACAGAGAGGGGACAAAAGGTGGAATTGAAGTATTATGCTCATATTTTCCAACTCAAATGTGGGGGCATGTTGATCTGGCATATAGCCTATTACAAAATAGTATCTGAAGGTTGGCACATCCTGGAAAATCCCAGGGATGTGTTTTAGTACATCCAAGGAGGCACAATCACTATTCAATATATGAATAGTTACAGGAGTTTAATCTTTTGGACCACAGATCCCACCCCTTTGACGGTCTATTGTTGGGCCCACCTCCGCCAATACAATCGTTTCTGAAAGCTGTTATGTGTTCATCTTTCCAGAATATCAAAAGCATTTTACAGCCAGCAGTGTTGTAAAGAATTCGGTCAGACCTGAGGAACCACCTAGCCTGCTTGATCAAACAGAAAATGACACACAAGCTAACAGCTGGAGTTCCTAACTTCATTTTTGAATAGTTTAAGCCAATGCGGGTTTGCTGTTAAGTGTTTAACTTTTGAAGACCCCTTTGAGAAGCTGATAAAGGTATGTGTCATCTATTCCAAATAATACATCCACAAACACGCATAAGTTTGCACACGAATTTATGGGCTTCATAGACTTCCTAAAACCCATCCTGGATGACCTTTTAGAATCACCCTTTTTTTCCGTCGTGGGCCCTGAAAGAAGTTATGGGACTGGGAGACTACGGAGACCCCAACGGCTTGTCACCAGACTCCTCTAAGTTCCCCCTCCCCCACGGCCTTGCCGCGCAGGTGCAAAAACCTAAGGGACCACCGGAGCGCGACTACTCCAGAGAGGGGGATGGGAGCCTGAGAGGGGCGAAGGCGGGGGTGGGGACCTTCCCAAGGTTGCCTGGTGACCACGCTCTCCGCCTAGACTGTTCCATTTCCTCAGCAGGTGGTACCGCGGGCCGGGGACGACTGCCCAGAGCAGCCCTCTTCCGGCTTCCCCCCACCCCTGTGGCGGGCGGTGGCGAGGGCCCGTGATGTCACAGGAGGCGGGGCCGGCGCTGCTGCCGGGTGCTGGAGGCGCCATTGGAGCCGGCTTGGCTTTCGAGCCCCGCTGAAGAGGCGGAGGGTTGGGCCGTAGTTACCGCCGAGTCCACAACTGGTTCTTAGCCCCCTAAGCGGCATGGCGTGCGGGGCGACGCTGAAGCGGCCCATGGAGTTCGAGGCGGCGCTGCTGAGCCCCGGCTCTCCGAAGCGGCGGCGCTGCGCCCCTCTGCCCGGCTCCACTCCGGGCCTCAGGTCCCCGGACGCCGAGCCTCCGCCGTCGCTGCTCCCGATGCAGACCCCGCCGCCGGCTCTGCAGCAGTCTGCCCCGCCCGGCAGCGAGCGGCGCCTTCCAACGCCGGGTAACCTTCGCTGCGGGTTTGGCAGGAAGCCAGTCCCAGGTTTTTTTTTGGGGGGGGGGGAGGGGGAAGCTGGACGGTAGGCAAATTAATGGTCGTACCTCTTCTTTGCCTTGAGAAAAGGGAACTGGGGCGCCGCTGGGCCTGGCTGCTTCCGGGGGTGGGAGACATCCGGGAGTAGTGGGGCCACGGTGTCGGTTTTTGGTTTTCCTGGAGCTGGAGAACCTAGAGGGCTGGGCCCCAAAGGGGAGATGGGAATATCCCTGGCCACGCAGGGCCTTCCCCGTCCCCGAAGCCCCAGCCCCCCCCTCACCCCCGCCCCAACTCCCACCCTACTTCGCTGCCCGGGCCTGCACTGAGCCGCCCGGTAGACCCAGTGGGCCTTGGGAAATTGGATTCTACTCACGAACCAGGCCTGGGAGGGGGGATGGGGAGGATTACTGGGAAGGGGCGTAAGTGAGCAGTTCAGCGCTGTACTGTAACTTGTGGGGAGACCTGATTTCCCCAAGTCTCAGAGGGTGGACCAGAGGCCGCAGTTGAGAATCCGAGCCCAACCTGATCGTCTCGAAGAGACTGGTTCTGTTTTTTGTTTTTTATGATATGGCTATTGTTTTGTATCTTATATGCCTTGAAATCGGTACGTCGATACCTACAAGTTGAAAATCCTTCAATATGCAGAGGCTCTAAAAGCCAGAATTTATCCATAACACAGGGACCTTTTCAGTAAGGGATTCCACATAGACCAAGGAAAGGGAAGAGCTGATGTGACAATAAAGCAAAGAAACCTAATCGGGCTGCAGGAGTACAGAGGAAAGTGCATCAGCATTAATATTTAGTCATTGTAAAGGGCTTTGGGAAGTTGTTTCTTCCTGAGGGAGTTTCCCCCGCCCCCCTATTTCTCAAGCATAAGTAAAATCTTGGCATTGCTTTTTTAAGAATCATTCTTTCCTCGCTGCCTGCAGTTACCAATGCCATAAGACTTTATTTCCTTTTTCCTCTGTATAATCCACAGTGCTGATTTTAGGCGTTCATGGTCTCACACAAGTTGCTAGCATTTGCCAGCTAAATTGGTCTTTCAGACTTTTCCTTACTTACGTTCACCTCTTTATCATGGCTGGCGTTTAAAGGATTTATCAACTGTATCCCTAGCTTACCTAGTCAGTCTTACCTATACCTCAGGCAATTCCTCTGCTCTTTTCACTAGACGTGTCTTGTGTTTATATCCATGCCTTCCATCCTGGTGTTTTTTACCCTCTCTTGCTAATCCAAATAGGCGTTTCTTCAAATCTCTCATCCATTACTTGACTACTTACCAGGCCTGGGAAGGATTTCGGTTCCACTTTAAAATTCCCTGACCACTTAATCCTTACGTGTATTATATACAGAATGAAGTAACATTTGTGAAAGTTCTTTGTAAAGTGCTCTTCAAAAGTAGGGAGAGAATGAGGGAGGGTGTATAGGACTTCCAACTCATATCAACTCTGTATAGTGTTTCCAAGGCTGTAAATATTTAACAGGAGCAGAAATCTTTACATCGGTCTCTGGTGAAGCAGCTGGTGAGTTTGACCTGCCCACCTTGTGGTAACAGTCCAGTGCTTATTCTGCAGTGCCACTAGTGTGCCTTATAGGACTGTATGCACATGCATGTATAGGTATAGTTGTCGGCATTTGTCTATATAGATTTGTGTGTTCTGGTATGGCACTGTAGAAAAAGCGCTCGACCATAAGGTTGGTTTGAATGACAAGGTCAGCGGTTCAAGCTCACCAGCCGCTCCTTGGAAACCCTTTTGGGCAACATTTGCCCAAAAGGTAAGGAGGAGCAGGGACACTAGAGGGACAGAAATGGAGAAGGGACTGACACAATTAGAGGGTAGCAGCCAGTGCCAAGGAGTCCTGGTTTGGCACTATAGGATAAGCACTGGACTGCAAGGTCGGTTGCAACCCTATATAGGGTCGCACTATGAGTCAGAACCACCTCAACAGCACCTACAACAACAAGCCAATGCCACAGAACAATTTGTATATAGATTGTTGAATGGAAAACTAGCTTGCTTTGTAAACTTTTCACCCAAGCACAATAAAATGTAAAAAAAAAAAAAAAAAGCTCTAAATCTTCACTTGGAATCATGTTTTTGTTCTTCTTAGTGTTTCTACAAATGCCCACATAATCTTCTAGATATCTTCACTGCAAAATGTGACTAGTTGCCCTACCTATCTATTGTAAAGAACCAATTCAGATATTTGTAAAAACCGTTTTGGAAAGTATAAAGCGATGGGTTTAAGTAAATGTCATTTCTTCCAGTTGTTGTTAAGTACCATTGAGTTGGTTCTGATTCATAGTGACTCTGTATAGAGTTTCCAAGGAGCAGTTGGTGAATTTGAACCACCAATCTTGTGCTGAGCAGGCCTATGCCTATCCTACATTGCACACCAGGTGCTAGCCCCTAAATTAATTCTGTTGTAGTTCTCATTACAGTAATAATTGAATGGATATGGAAACCTGAATATGACAGTGCTATAAATATTTTATTTAAAATATTATGTGTAAAGATTGATCAGTTCTATCCCTTAATGCTGATTCTGTCATGAAAGACGTATAAAGTACTAATGATTCATTATTTGATGATTTGGCTTAAGTAAAAGGTGCCAAAAATCTTTGTATTAAAAAAAAAAAAAAAAAAGAACCAATGAGAGTGAACCGGGGAAAATGTTAGCTGCTATATAACTAAAAAGAATAAAACCATCTAAAGGAGAAATTAATTAAAACAATGACTTTGTTTTATACCATCCCAGGGTTGTAACTTTCTTTCCGAATGATTAGGAAGCTGTTTTTACTTTTTAAAAAAAGGTATAATACTGTTGGTGGAAAAGGCCTTAAAAATTAAGCCTTTTATGGCTCACATTTTTACTGTGTGCTAGGAATGTGGTGGCTCCATACAATAAACACTAGCCACAGGGTCAGAGGTTTGAGCCCTCCAACCACTCGAGAAAAATGAGGCATTCTGTTCCCATCAAGATTTAAAACCTCAACCCCTATACAGGGTCATTAAGAGTCGTAACTGACTCAGTGGCACTTAACAACAGGTGAGTGCTAGGCCTAGAAGGGCTCTGTTTACTTTGGAGAGATTTTTAAATGTGGAGTATAAATGCATAGCTGTTGATCATGACTTGGGGTTTGGGGAATAATTTCTGGATTGAGGTAGCTGGACCTTGAATAATGTGAGGGGAGGAGAGGCACAGCCCCATTTCAGGCAAAAGAAAACTAGTTAAACCAAGGCTGCTGCTGGTGGTGGTGCGCCATGGAGTCGAAACTCCAAATACTAAAGAAGGAATTGTTTAAAGAAACTGGGTTGTAGTAAGAGATGCAACTGAAAAAATAACAGACCTTGTCTTAGAAGTCCTTGAAGCTGTGTTACAGAGTTGGGGTTTTGGTCTATAGCAGCTAGGAGCCATTGCATAGTTTTGAAGAATGGATCAAGCCTGACGTAACTTGGAAGTGGGATCCTGGTGTGATGCTGTAAGGTAAACATTAGACTGCTAACCACAGTGTTTGTCAGCAGTTCAAACTAACCAGGTACTCCTCAGAAACCCTATACAGGGACGCTATGAGTCGAAACCAACTGTACAACACTTAACAACAACAACTTGGACGTTAAATAATAGTAACAGGCAAGGATTTAAATTACTAGTCACTGTTAAGTTGCATTTGTGTTTTTAAAATGCTGTTTCCTTCTTATGGGGCCTTCTTGGGAAGAAAATCAAGTCTACTTCCTTGTTTTTTTTATCATGGAGGCCATGTTTAGGTTCTTGCTCTAACTAGTCCTTCTACCCGCTTCAGAGTTATAGCTTTCCATTTGTTCACTTGGCCACACAGGAGGCAGTTAAAGGTTTATCAAAGACCTTCTGTTCTCTTGAGTATTGTACTCATACTTGTCCTTTCTTGTTTCAAATCTTTGCAGTTTCTTGCATCTTTGTATTGAATCTGGCAAGTATTTGCTTGGTGAATAGTACATTTTAACGATGAAGCGAAGACTTCATACATTCATAGATCTAAAATATGGACTTCATTGCACTCTTAAAGCAAAGTTTTCTGATCCTACATTGTTCCAGTGTTTAAGAACAATGAGTTACTGAGTTCAGAAACATGCATGTGGGGCTACTTTGAATTCATGTCAGTCTTCAAGAGAGGACAGCACCTCCCTTCTGTAGCAATACTAGTATCTTTAATTTTGACCCTCACAATTTAATTATAGGTAGACGTTTAAAGGAGCTCTGGTAGCGTAGTGGTTACGAATCAGGCTGCAAGCCGCAAGGTCAGCAGTTCGAAACTGCCAGCTGTTCCATGGGAGAAAGATGAGGCTTTCTGCTCCCGTAAAGATTTATAGCCTCGGAAACCCTGTGCAAGGTCTCTGTGAGTTGGCGCCGACTCCACAGCACATAATAACAAGAAGATACTTAATATTTCTATTGACAGGCTAGGCTTAATGATCCTGAATGATTTTACAAGATTATGGTCATACAGCTAGTAAATAACAAAGTGGCATTATTAACATTGCCCCCATTTAAAAGAAAAAATAGGCTATAGTACACTATACACTGGAATAATGTGATTTTAAGGAGGGGTGGAAGTCCTGGTGTGGCGCTGTGGGCTAATGCATCAGACTGCAAAGTCATTTGAACTGCAAGGTCGATGGTTCAAGCTCACCAGCTGCTCCTTGGAAACCCTATACAGGTCACTACGGGTCGGAATCAACTCGACGGCACTTGATGACAACAGCAAGGAAGGGTGGTGTAATTTTTATAAGGAGGCTTTATTATCTGAAAAGTGAATGTTGTGCTATCAGGTTGGTTCTGATGGACTCGTAGTGTCCCTGTATAGGATTTCTGACAGATATTGGTGGAATTGAACTGCTGACATTGTGGTTAGCAGTCCAGTGCTTATCCTGTGCCACACAAGGACTTATTAAGTGAATATAATACCGCAAAAATGAAACGCTTGAAAAACGCTTTCTTCCAGAGTCTGTGTTGAATCTAGGTGTGTAGTCAAGGTGGTTAGTGATTTGTGTGTCCTTGACTCCCTTTACACATGTTAGCAAATTTGTTTTGTTCATACCTAGACTCAGAATCCTACCAAATATTGCCTCTTGTAGGATAAAAAAAAAAAAGTCTTCTGAGCCCTGACCATCAGTTCCAAGCATTAAATCTTAGCTCTTTCCCTGGTCAATGGGCAGGCTGTGCGTGTTATTCACTTCCCCCAGATCATAAGAGTCCCAAAAAGGACAAGAACTTCATTATCAGAAGGGCCTCTAGGTGGTAAGAAGCTGACCCTTTAATGCTTCAATTAAGAAATTATAAAACTTAGAGGATATCAAAAGTAGCTCCCTATTAGGTTAAGGGCAGTTCCTTTGGCTGTAAGTCGCATTAGTTCATCATCCAGCACATGGCAGAAATTCACAAATGATGAAGGAACTGAGTGACTTATGCCAAAATAGCTTCTGTTTTTTGCATTGTTGAAATAGTGTTCTGTCTTAGGGACTGTAGGAGGAGTGTTTTATACAGCATAAACTTTTTTCTTGTTAATATTTGTTACTGGGAGAAGGGAAAAGATTGAGGCCTGCCCTGTATGTTAGAGAAAGTATTTGAAATCTAGTCAAAAGACTCATCCCACTTCTGAAGAAAGTTTGAAGACTTGATGATAAAGCATATGCTCAAGTTTCTTTCTTTTTTATTAGAGCAAATTTTCCAGAACATAAAACAAGAATATAGTCGTTATCAGAGGTGGAGACATTTAGAAGTCGTTCTTAATCAGAGTGAAGCTTGTCCTTCAGACAATCAGCCTCACTCCTCAGCACTTACAGCACCTAGCTCTCCAGGTAAGCAAAATCCTTGTAAATGACACTAAGTAATGATCATCTCCTAATCCAGAATTGGTCTCACCTAGAGGAATAAAATTGGAAACATGTATGCATTAGAGCTCTAGGTATAAATATTTGTAAAACCAGAGTTAAAATTGGCAAAGTCCTTAGATTGATTTGGTTGGACTTTCACCAACCCCATGTAGGAGCATCCTCTGTAACCACATTGTTTTTAATACTGTAGCTTACTAGCCACATGAGGCTATTTAATTTTAAGTTAATTATAAGTAAATATATTTAAAATTCAGTTTCTCCTTCACAGTAGCCACATATTGGACAGCATAGATAGAGAACAGCATTGCTCTGTGACATTGATAGTTGCTTAGACAAGATGTGCTCAAAAATGGAATCTCAGATTTTCAAGGAATCGTCACGGTCACATAGTTCAGCCCCAGCCCTGCTTGCCGTATCCCTATCAGATAGTCTACAGGCCAGTGCTTGTACATCTTCAGTGTTTGTTTCCTCACCAAATATTTTACCTTTTTAACAGGTCTAAGGAGCTCTGGTAGCGTAGTGGTTACGAATTGGGCTGCTAATCTTACGGTCAGCAGTTCGAAACTACCAGCTTTTCCGCTGGAGAAAGATGAGGCTTTCTGCTCCCGTAAAGATTTATAGCCTTGGAAACCCTGTACCACAGTACATAACAACAAGGGCTAATGTGGACATCTTGGTGTGGTGCTGTAGGATCAGCACTGGGCTGTGAACCACAAGGTTAGCAGTTCAAACCCACCAGCCGCTCTTTGGAAACCCTATAACAGGATTGCTATAAGTCAGAAACGACTCAACAGCACTTAACAATAACAAGGGCTAAATAAAAGTTGTTTGCTTTAGTTCAAAATTGTCACTTTAGCATTCCAGTTACTCTTGCACATAAATGATTGACAGATCTTTCAATACTTAGAACTAGAAAATCTCTTAATCTTCTCTTGAAATTTTAGTAATACAGTTTTGGAAGTAATTGAGTATATTATGGGTAGAGAAACAATTAGAAATGACTGGCTAGATGTTTTGGGTTAGAGTTCATGTGTAGAGAAAAAATTTCTTGTTAAAGTAGGAAATGATTTTCAGAGTGTTAAATGGTTTATAGACTGAGTAAGAGGACCCAAGAAACTGATTCTAGGCTAAGCAGCTTTGAGGAACACATCAGAGCTCTGCTCATATCATGATTTTCTAATCCACAATGTTTTATACTGCTTATATCTGTTTTTTATTCTTTACCAAATGAGCATTGAGTATGGGCCCAGCTTTTTATGATACCAGAATTATTTTTCAGTATGCAGGTCAGCTCTGGTAGCATAGTGGTTACGAATCGAGCTGCGAGCCGCAAGGTCAGCAGTTCAAAACTACCAGCAGTTCTGCGGAAGAAAGATGAGGCGGTCTGCTCCCGTAAAGATTTACAGCCTCGGAAGCCCTCGTAGGGTCGCTATGAGTCGGAACCGACTCCACGGCACATAACAACAACAACATATGCAGGTCAGCTAGTAGCACACCTGAACACACCTCCTTCCCATCTTTCCATTTACATGTGACCTAGGTGTGTAAAACAAATGGTGTAAACAATTTTGTGAAAGTATTTCATGTGAGGTAGTGAGAAATACCATTTTTCTAAACAGTGTTTATATCCTGAGGACTGTTTGAATAACGTTAATTCTGAGCAATAGAACTAAAATGTATTTTGTAAACTAGAGTTATCTTTTGGCTAGGTTCTTCCTGGATGAAAAAGGACCAGCCCACCTTTACCCTCCGACAAGTTGGAATAATTTGCGAGCGTCTCTTAAAAGACTATGAAGATAAAATTCGGGAGGAGTATGAGCAAATCCTCAACACCAAATTAGCAGGTAGGACAAGCAGTGCTTATATCATTATTGGAGTCCTGGTGTGTGGCATTGCAGGATAACGCACTGGGCCATAAGGTTGGTTTGAACCACAAGGTATTGGTTGGTTCAAACTCAGCAGCCACGCCTCAGAAATCCTAAAAACAGGGTCTCTGTGAGTCAGGACCCGTAGCACTTAACAATAACAACATGTCATTGTTGATAGCATCCAGTAAGGGTTAACCTTGGTTAAGTAAATAATAACTTAGAAAAAGAGTGGGGTTTCATATGCAAGAGGACTTAATGAATTATGAATATTGAACGTGCTCTTTTTGGGGGTTGTAAACATTACATTATATGGAAGGAATTTTCATTTCTGAAACAAGATAAACTTCCTTGCAAGAATTTTCTATTTGAATAAAGGCATTCAGTGGGTCATATGGGCCAGTTGGTGAGTAACAGGTGGCTGGGATGGTGCTAACTTCCCAACAGGTGGCTAGGAGGAGTGGTGGGAGTCAATTTGTGAATGTGGGAGGTCAGGCATCCTGTGAATCTGGAAGTACAATAGAGGAAAGCAACGAAACCCAGCTCAGGCTAGACCAAAAGGCATGGTTAGTGGTGGCAACAAATAGAGCTTTATATGAAAGAAGGGTCCTGTTAGTGAAAGGGGCCATGTTGTGCTCAGTGATCCTGGACCAACCATTTCTTCTTGTAACAATATTACTGTTTTCCTAGTCTGGTGACCCCTGCAACATGATGCCTCAGAATGTTAATGCATCTGCTTAAAATGTAGAACTATTGGATTAAAGTTAAACACGTTTATTTACAATAGAGCTTTTTTGATCCTTTAATATACTAATAATGTATAAGAAAAGAAATCCTAATTTATCACTCCTCAAAGCTAGCTATAACTCACTTCTCTGGTCAATTAACAGGCTACCTTATACTCTTCTACTGAGTTTTTTCCTTAGAGGATGTTTCTTCTATAGAATTTTATACAGTTGAACGGTATACAATTTTCTTTTAGCTTTCTGGCATTCTACCTCTTCTCATGTTTTCTTCACTCAAGTTCAGAAAAGCGCTTCAGAGCTTCATGCCCATAGGTGGTTTGCTTATAAATTTGCTGGTAGTGAGCATGTTTCTGTCTTGGGAGGCCATTTGTAAGGAATGGAATTAGGGCAGAGAAGAAGTTATTAGAAAGATGTCATATTACAGATAATCATTGACCAAATCTGGGAGCCAGGGAGTTTGGCTCTGGGATGGAAGAGGAAGGAACAGATCTTAGAATGCCCTTTATAATGAGATCTGAGAGGGCAGAGAATTCAAACTGGGAAGCTGAGTGTGAACTTGACACTTGGTTTTTGAAAAATTGGGAGAGACTTTATTACACTGTCTTTCCCTCACAGAACAATATGAATCTTTTGTGAAATTCACACATGATCAGATTATGCGACGATATGGGACAAGGCCAACAAGCTGTAAGTATTGCCAAGTTTTTCTTTGAATTTTCTGAGTTCCAAGAGCAAGATTTTGACACTGAGTATCCTGCCTGCTAAGAGCCAAAGGCCTCTCTGAAGTAAAAGAATAGCTAGTAGTTAAAGCATGTATGTGTGTCCAACATTGTATAAGCCCTTTAAATTTTCACCAGAGTTTATGTAATCCTCACAGTAACCCAGTGAGGGAGGAGGAACAGTTATTAGCCAGCCCCATTTTTGCAGGTCACAATAGCATTGAAAATTTACCCAAGCTCATAGAGCTAGTGGTTCAGCTACGATTAAAAATCTAGGTAGTCTGTTTTATTTATTTATTGCCTTTTTTTCTGGAAAGTTAGTTCCAATAGTTAACTTATGAAAGTTAGTTTCTTAAGGTGCTGCATAGTTAGGATTTCTTGATTCTAAACAACTTGCAGCTGCCAGTTACTCAAAGCATAAATTATAAATAGCTATGTCTCAAAACTGTGAGCCACCATGTATGGTAGGTTGCGCCTATAGTAGGCCCAGATACTCGGGAGGCTGAGGCTGGAGGATCGCTTGAGTCTAGGAGTTCTGGGCTGTAATATGTGTTATATCGATCAGGTGTTAACAGTAAGTTTGGCATCATATGGTGACCTGTAAGTGGGGACCACCAGGTTGCCTAAGAAGAGGTGAACCAGCCCAGGTTGGAAACAGAAGGTCAAAACTGTGATCCAGGGCCAAATTTAATGCCTTTACAGTGGTGATTCATATTCTCTATGTGGTTTCATCTCATTTACCATTAGTTAATAGAAAAAGAAAAACATTACATTTGTTAGTATTCTCACTCATTTTTTCCTTTTTTGTTCCAAATTCTTTATAGATGTGTCCTGAGGCTTTCTTGCATATCTGGGTACCAGGTTTAACCTCAAGAGATGGCTGCTGTACACTTTTTGCAACTGGTTTGATATCACATTTCAGCTCCAACTTTGCATCCTGAGAACACTTAAATGTTTCTGCGGGTCCATTTTTATACAACTTGAAAGACCTTGAAACTTTCTGGTTGCCACAAGCATATCTTTCTTTTCTGCTCATCCAATAAACAGCTGTGCCCTACTGTGATAGATTTTCCAAACAAAATACCTGGAGCAGCAGTTTAGCAAAATATGCCTTCAGTGGCACTCAACAAATGGAGTTTCCCCAAGCACAGTTCTGTAAGAAGTGTGTGTGAGAATGTGTATATGTGTGTATGTGTATTTTAAGTTATTATTTGTATTGTGCAACTTTTTTGATCTTGGGGATTCTGGCTGTGAATTTGATACACAACAATTATGGTTGAAAACATTTGCTTGGTCTACAGAAGATCATTAATGTTTTGTGACCATATAAGTTGTAACAGTGGATTGTTTTATGTATAGGTATTATTGTTAAATACAGGGACTGTTTCCAGGCACAGAATATGAATCATAAGTTAGAGTGGACATTAGATGTGATTATGATGACATAGTGAAGGTCTGCAATCCTAGGTGTACAAGCATGTGGTGAGGCATTAGAACAACTGGAGACAGGCCATTTGACACATGGACTCTGCCTGGTCATGTTAGAGAAATACTTTGACTCCAAGCCTTAAAATATCTATATGGAGTCTGCGCTCACCTAATTCACTCAATCAGAACTCCCTGGACACTGACCCTCCAAGGGGAAAGATTGCCTCTGGAGCAAGAGCATCATCAGGGTTGGCTCAGGAGCATAGCATAGGTGAGCACATAGCATAGGCTAGGCCCAGCAGCACTGCTAAATTGGGAGGAGCCACTTCACCTTCATAACAGTCATTACAAATAGAATTTGGATCCTTTGGTTAGCTTCCACCAAATTCTTTCCAGAGGTGTCCATGTTCAACTGCTTGAGCTTTGTTTTGGCAACCTCCTGCCCAAAGTTGCTTACAGGCTGTTCTTCACTTGAGTCCAAGGTTGAGGAACAGAAAGTAGCCTCTTTTTTGAGGAGGTAGAAGTTATGTATACATTTATTTTTTACTGTGACTTGTTCAGGACCACATTTTACAAAATGCCTTGTTTCATTTATTATTGTTTCTGGAAAAGAAAGTTCTATTAAAATTGTTTTAGCTTGAATATAGACTAGTTTTTTTAAATAGGGTTTATTTTGAAATTTCTGAGTTTAATTCAAATATATGCCAATACCTTCCAAAGTTAAGGTGATATTCAGAGACAGTTGTTCTGATCAGATGGCTTAGAGAACTTATTGGAATATTCACATTAGAAGATTCCTTATTATTGAATGTCTTTGACTTAAATCTAACCAAAAACTGCAACATTATTCTTTGTACATTTTCATTATATAGTGTTAACAAGCTTAGTTGCAAACAAATAAAATACTTAAGCTATTTGTTTACCTTGCCTTTTTATTACAGTGGTGTTTCTTAATTCAAGTAATTTATATGAGGCTGCTATAACAATTTTCGTAGTTCAACATTACAGTGAAGATATACAGACGTTTTCTAAGCTCAGCAGTGATCTTCTAATAAATAAAGAATACTTCATATGTGAAGGGCGATTTAGTTCATCTCTTCCTTTTTCAGGGTAGTCATTTTTTCCTTGAGGAGGAACATACCAATGGCTGTAGTAGAAATGGTCATGCAATGGAATAATCACAGCAAAACAAGGGAAAGCCAGCTGTGGGGACCACACAGGCTGAACCAGGCCTCACTGAGGTCTCTTTGTTATAGAATCAGTGTGATGCACTCACTCATCACTGCAGGTGTCATCCGCAATCCTACAAATGACTTCTGACTGATTTTTATCAGGAAACTGGCACCCACTCAGCACTCAGAATTGTAGGGCTGTTGTAGTAATGATCTGGGCCACAGGGTAAGTAAGCACACCACCATGGCTTAGGGCCAGGATCATCTCTAAAGGGAGTAGACTTAGGATTCGTTTCATAGGACAGAAAACAGGGACCTGGAAAGTAGGCCTTAGGCTGGCAGAGAGGATCTTATGATTTCCTTTACTCATCCTCTTTTAGTAAAGTGTTAATGCTTAAGGTAAAATAAAAGGAATTTGCTTCTTTGCCTAGATCAAAGGAGTAATGAGAGCAAAGTTCCTGAGAAAATGATAATTGGTGAGAACTCCCAAGGGAAAGAACTTCAGGGAATACAAGCATTTGGGCCAACAAATGTACGGTGTGAGTCTTCTGTGTCCCTTGGAGGATTGGTTGGTTTCTAGCTTAGTAGTTTAAGAAATGGGCTTTGAGTGTACAGAAACCCTGGAGTTTATTTAGTTTGTGCCCTGTCACTAGTTTGCTACATTAGCTTTGCACCAAGTTCCTGAATTCTCTAGCCTAGCTTCCTTATCTATGAAATGGATGTACATTATTGAGTTTTGTATTTGAATTTGAAGACTGAATGAAATAATTCATGTACAGCAAGCATTTAGCACAACTTAGGGCATTTACATTTTAAAATGTTAACAACATTTCCTTAACAGTGGCCCTCATCAGATCTGAAGACCAAAAAGCCTTCTTGTCTGCCACAGTGATTCTTACCCTTTTCCAGGATGAGAAGTCCCTTGTTGGTCTCAAAATCTTACATTCTTTTATTAGAATTTGTAACTTTGTTTGGGTAAGAAAACAAAATACGAATAAGAATGGATTCGGTAATGCTTTTCAGTGAATCTGTATTTTGTTACTCACTATAATAGGGGTCTGTAAACTATGACCGGTTTTTATAAATAAAGTTTTATTGGAACACTGACATGCCTATTCATTTGTAATATCTATGTAATATCACATTGTAACAACCAATTGAGTAGGTGTGATAGAGACAGAATGGGTCACAGGAAAAGCCTTTTACAGAAAAAATTGGCCAAACTCTGTACTGTAACATTAATGTACATTGATAAGCATTTGGAAGGGGTAAACACACCATTTATCATGGATTGGACTACTTGCCCTAATTTGCCATTCCCAAGGAATTTACCACTCCAGGTTGAATCAGTGGTCTGTACAAAAAAATCCTTTACTTAGTGTTGGAGGAGAATATTGAAAATACCATGTGCTGCCACAAGAACAACAAACATCTGTGCTAGAAGTGCAGCCAGATTGCTCCTTGGAGGCCAGGAAGGTCAGACTTCGTCTCTCACACTTAGGACATAATGTCAGGAGGGATCAGTCCCTGGAGAAGGATATCATGTTTGGTAAGGTGGCGGGTCCGAGAAAAAGAGGAAGGACTCCCCAGCAAGATGGATTGGCAAAGTGGCAGCATCAAGCATGAGGTTGGCCCAGGACAGGGCAGTGATTTGTGCTGTTTTGCATAGTGTAGCTATGGGTTGGTACCAACTCATGGGACCTAACATAAAGCATACAGAAAAAGTTCTTGAACAACTATTTAAAGCAGTGCTTAAAAGGGACAGGGTAAATACTAATTGTGGGGAGGGGGTGGGGCATGACAAAGGGAAAAGATGCAGAATGATTTACTGGCATATTTCATTTGAAAATTAGGTATAAAAATAGGCATGAAAGATGTTTATCAAAAATTAGTTTGTAGAGGTGGGGCTTGATGGCGTCTAGGACAGAGGTACAGTGAGGTTCTTGATCAGCAATACCACAATACCAGGTAAAGCAGATTCAAGGCAGAGTTCCAAAACTGAACCACATAGGTAAGAATATTTAAAAGTTTAAAGGCTAATAGCTAGTGGAACTTGAAGCAAAAGTAAGAAATTGTGTGCTTTTGAATCTGCCAGGCTCTGCAGCTTAGGCAAGACCAAAAGGCATGACCAAGCGGGGGAGCAGATACACCACGGAAAAAGGTCGCGGGAACCTCGGAGCAAAGGTGGACAATACACTTTTGACGGTTTTGCTTTGTTCTGTTTCTCTTTTTTGCGGTATCTGTTCATTGGCCCCCCACACACCCACTGTTGGCGCACCTCCATTCGGGTGACTAGAGGGGGTGCCTGAGCAGTGGACACCTCCCACCCTCACCATTGGTGGGTTCTTCTGCTACACATGTGCACAGATATTCTCAGCCCAAGAGTAGGCCCTGAACTGTTTTGTTTTGTTTCTTTTAATATGGAAAAGGCTACAAAAAGGCGTTTGGAGAGGAAAAGAGAGTTTTTTTAAAAAAAAAAAAGGCTGAAAATTAAATCCTGAGGTACAGCATAACAACCAACAGTGCCATCTTGAAATCTATTACACAGCTTTGAAGGCAAGAAGCTGAAAGAGGACATTAAAGCCATAGTCATATTAGGCTACAGATTTTTTTTTTCTCTCCCTCCTCTCCCTTTTCTGCAATTATAGAGTACAGTATCCAGTCTAGTTTTTGGTGTTTGTTTTTTTACTTTTTTTTTTTTTTGGTGTTGCTGTTTCACTGTTTTATACTCCCCCTACTTACCTTTGGGGGACTCTTTCTCTCCCTATGTTACCCAAGAAGAGAGCAACTGCTGCCATATAGTCAAGTTACAATAACACTCTATAAAACCAAAATCCTGGTAAGAACCAATACCAACTGCCGTTTACAAGGGAGGCAGACAACACCTGTGAAAGTTACTCTGAGTTAAGCAATCAGAAGAGTGAAAAGGGAATCCCACATCCTGATCACATCTACCTGGAAGCAATCAGAAAGCATATAAAGTACCAAAATACATGAGTATTAAAGCCAAAGATTAAACATGTCCAAGAAGCAAAAGCAGATGACTATATCAGCACATGTCGAGAAATAAGATACAATACTGAGACAAATGACCTAGAGGTAGACCTGGACTGCATACTGGAAAAAGGGCAGCCCTTGGAAATGCCTGAAAAGGAATTCAGAAAAATGATTATGAGACGTTTCGAAGCACTTTACAATGGAGTTGATAAAAATAAGGAAAAAGTCAGGAAAGCACTGTAGGAATAATCAAGATAAACACAGCATTGGAAACAGTTAAAAATCTACAGAAAGATGTCCAAACGATCAATAATACAATATCAGATATAGACAATACACTGAAAGGGCAAAGGAGTAGAATAGAAGAGATGGAAGGCAGAACCAGTGAGCTGGAAGACAAATCTCTCAATACCACTAAGAAGAGCAAACAGAAAAAAAGAATTAAAAAA